TGTTTGGTTTTATAGTTGTGTACTGTTTCAACTGTATTTGCCCTTGAAAGTTGGTGGCATACAACTCAAATAAGTTGAACCATTTGATGGGAAGTGGCTAAAAAAGTCGCATCTGAAAATTGTGCGAGGGGGCAAGAATTCTGGAGGAATTTCTCAGTGCTTATCTTACTGTAGCAAGATGGGCAAGGGTTGTGCATGCACTATTTATTTTACAGATTATTTTTTTTCTCCTGTGTTTTGTACCTCCCCAGTTTCTTGTGTTTCCCAGAGAGCTCTATAGCTGACTTAAACATGACTTCCTTCCTTGAGACTTTGTTATGCTGCTGCCTGTGGAATCCCTGACAGCTGAGGGAAAAAAGTCAAGTGTCTCTTGTCAGTTTCCAGAAAGTAGCTCTCCTTAGCATCTTGTATACTACAATTATGCATTTTCAATACAATCTCAGACCAACCTACTGCAAATTACAATTTTAGGCATGTGTAATAGTAATATAGTATAAAACAGAAAATAAATTGTTTCATAGTATTAAATTGAAGGAACATAGAACACATACTGAATAGTGGTTCATTTAACTCAGTATTCTTTACCAGGGTGAAATGATTTATATGAACAGTTTAAAGAAAAAGGACTTTGTTTATTCATTCATTCAACTTACATTCCACTGTACTAGTCTGAAGAATCTCTGAGCAGATTACAATATTAAATAAAATAGCAATAAAAACAACATACAATAAAATAAATAAATTAAAATATATTCTAGCTAAAAACAGTATGAATAATTGTTAAAATATCTGGAGAAGAGAACTGTTTTCGTGTGATACTGAAAAGAGTGTAAAGATGGCACCAGGTGAACTACTCCTGGAAGGCTATTCTGTAAAGGAGGTGCAGCCACTGAGAAGGCCCCTCTTTTATTTGCCATCCTCTTTACCTCTGTAAAGGATGGCTCTCTCAGAAGGGCCTCCTTACCAGATTATAAAAATAATTGAAAGCAAATACCTCATTATAGTTTTGCAATCTGTTAATCTATGACTCAAGTTTTATTTTTTCCACTGTTTAATTATTACATTGGTATCTGTCATCTCTTTCTTCCACTGAACACAGTTTACATATTTTCACTGTTTGATTTACATGTAGAATGTTTTTTTTAAATATTCCCGCATAGTGTCTTTCTCACAACCATCAACTGCAATGCTTTTTAAGATTAAGGTTGGGAATATAGCACCTTGTACACAGGACAGCTTTTGTTCTCTTATCTCTGGTACGGCTTCTTTTAGCTTCATTTATCACAAGTGGCACCCATGCAAAAACAAACAGACAAACAAAAATTAAATAGCTATGGCCAATAGCTTGAAGTAAACTCTGATAGCTGTAGGTTCCATTAGATTTTTTTAATCAGGTGAAAATAAAATATTCATGTTTGATACATCGGCATTTCATTAGCAGTCATAAAATCTATCAAAGCCCTTTCAAAAGACCTGCTAAAACAAAACAAAAAAAAATGCTTTTTTTTTTTAACAGTTGTGAACACAAAGTGCTTCTGAAAAGTGAAAAGAAGGAGATTGTAGATTTCTCTAGAGGACCTAGAGCCTGGGGCATAGTGTGGAAAAGGTAGAGGGGGACTGAGAACAAAATGTCAGGACTATGGGATATCTAGAAGGCACCGAGTTGCTCAAGCTGGCATGAGGGATGTAATCAGGCCAGAAGTATTGATTTCAGGTTAGAGATGAACTGTAAGGCTAGCATGCTTATATCCAAATTATTTGATGTTACACTAGCTATTATTTAAGAGAATTTTAATATTCCAATTATTTAAAAGTTTAATTGAAATTTTAACGAGATTCAAAATTTACCATCCAATTTAAAAAAAAAGTTTTCATTTTTAAACATTTTTGTCTACTCCACTGTCTGTTCAAAGTGGCTCTCCAGGCTTGCAGAAGGGACTCTCACGGTGCCCTACCACCATGCTCTACCACTGAGCTATTGCTTGTTACTATTGAATATTCAAGTGCTGATTATAACTTTTGCCATAATGTAGCATTCCATACATTACATCTTGTCCTCTGTCTAATAGGGCTATCCATAATTTTCAATGAAAAGAAAGCCATTTGTTCACACCAGAGGAAAGTGGTATGCGATGGCAGTGTTCTGGTCTTAGAAGGGACTGAATCTCCTGCATGTACAGGAGACCTGGACTGTGTCTCATAGATTTTTTTTAGTGGTTTCATAGGCCAAGAGGCTGACAGCAGGTGTAAACTGAAATATTTCTTTACTCTGACTCTTACAGTGATCCTAATGGATGATAAAGAATAGGCCTTTTGCCATTTGCTTTGTAGTGAAGGGCGCTTCAGACCTGTCAATCTCCTTTATAAATATTGGTCTATAGGAATCACATAGCCATATTGTGTCCATTTGTTATGTATATGAGTAATTTGTTAAGAAGGCATATATCTATCACAACTACTGTTTCTATATATGGCAATAGATTCATGTGTTTATGACATCTGATTTTTTGTGCATTATTGAATTTTATTTTCATAGATGGAAGTGAAATCATGAAGGAAATTTTAACATGTGAACTGGCCCTCAGCAGATGCCTAATATCAGGTATCACATTCCCATCATTGAGAGTCATTGGATCCAATATAAATTGCTTTCATCTCTGCAACTTGATCTGTCCGTAGCTGTCCCTATTTGCAGCTGCAGAGCATTTGTACGCAAATCCGGTGTCCTCCAAATGTTTTGGATTACAACACTCATAAACTCAAGCCAGAATGGCCAATGGTCAGGACAGTGGGACATCTAGAAGGCACCAAGTTGCCCAAGATGGCATCTATGACCCAGGGCAACTTCAGTAATGTTGTGGTTTGTTGTTGTTGTTGTTGTTAGTCGCGGAGTCATGTCCGACCCATTGCGACCCCATGGACCACATTCCTCCAGGCCTTCCTCCACCATCCCCCGGAGTCCACTTAAGCTCACACCAACTGCTTCAGTGACTCCATCTAGCCACCTCATCCTCTGCCATCCCCTTCTTCTTTTGCCATCTATTGTTCCCAGCATTAGACTCTTCTCCAGGGAGTCCTTCCTTCTCATTTGAGTTTCATCTTCAGGATCTGGCCTTCTAAAGTGCAGTCCGGGTTGATCTTCTCTAGGTCTGACCGGTTTGATTGCCTTGCGGTCCAAGGGACTCGCAGGAGTCTCCTCCAGCAGCACAATTCAAAGGCCTCAATCCTTTGGTGCTCAGCCTTTCTTGTGGTCCAGCTTTCACAGCCATACATTGCAACTAGGAAAACCATAGCCTTGACTATACGCACTTTTGATGGCAGGGTGATGGCAGACAGCTTTTTAGTATGCTGTCTAGATTTGCCATAGCTTTCCTCCCCAGGAGCAAGCGCCTCTTAATTTCTTGGCTGCAGTCCCCATCTGCGGTGATCTTGGAGCCCAGGAAAATAAAACCTGTCACTACCTCCATTTCTTCCCCATTTATTTGCCAGGAAGTGAGAGGACCAGATGCCATAATCTTAATTTTCTTAATGTTGAGTTTTAAGCCAACTTTTGCACTCTCCTCCTTCACCCGCATCAAGAGGCTCTTTAGTTCCTCTTCACTTTCTGCCATTAGAGTGGTATCATCTGCATATCTGAGGCTGTTGATATTTCTCCCAGCAATCTTAATTTCAACTGGTGATTCATCTAGCCCTGCCTTTCTCATGATGTGCTCTGCATATAAGTTAAATAGGCAGGGCGACAATATACAGTCTTGCCGAACTCCTTTCTCAATTTTTAACCAATCAGTGGTTCCGTGTCCAGTTCTCACTGTTGCTTCTTGACCCGCATATAGGTTTCTCAAGAGACAAATAAGATGGACAGGTATTTCCATCTGTTTAAGAACGTGCCACAATTTGTTGTGATCCACACAATCAAAGGCTTTAGCATAGTCAATGAAGCAGAAGTAGATGTTTTTCTGGAACTTCCTAGCTTTCTCCATGATCCAACCTATGTTGGCAATTTGATCTCTAGTTCCTCTCCCTCTTCGAAATCCTGCCTGTACTTCTGGTAGTTCTCGGTCCACATACTGCTGGAGCCTAGCTTGTAGGATTTTGAACATAACTTTGGTAGCATGTGAAATGAGTGCAATGGTGTGGTAGTTTGAACATTCTTTGGCATTGCCCTTCTTTGGGATTGGAATGTAAACTGACCTTTTCCAATCCTGTGGCCACTGTTGAGTTTTCCAAATTTGCTGGCATACTGAGTGTAGCACTTTTACTGCATTTTCTTTTAAGATTTTGAATAGCTCAGCTGGAATACTGTCCCCTCCACTAGCTTTGTTGTTGCTCAGACTTCCTAAGGCCCATTTGACTTCACATTGCAGGATGTCTGGCTCGAGGTCAGTGACCACCCCATCGTGGTTATTAGGAACATTAAGCTCTTTCTTGTATAGTTCTTCTGTGTAATCTTGCC